TAGTTCTGGTTGGGGCTCAGGTTTTCTACCTAAGCCCCTAATACTCTATGCACAGGGCTTGAAACAAAAACCTGTGTCTCTGCTGGGCAAATTCTATTCCCCCTTTTAACACAGCCTATCAAGTATCAGCTGAAGGCAGCCTTACATGCTCTCTGTTATCTATACCCTATAATCATTTCTAATGTACAAGCAGGTAAGAGAACATTCAATACCTGTAGTATATTCAGATAAACATATAATCCAAAACACATAATCCTTTTTAAGACATTCCAGGTTCATCTCTTTACCTGGATTGCCTTCCCATTCTATATATATGTGGCCTTGAGCCTTTGACTGGGTGTAACCAAAAACATCTCCTTTAATAGGTAACATCAAGCAAAGTAACCACCTAATAACCCAAAATTTCATTTCTCAGGCCCCTTTCTTCTTTCTTTTACAAAGTCCCATTCTTCTTCTATGAGTCTGGAGCCATTGCAATGAATCCCACCACTTCTGACACCAACTGTTCCTCCCTCAGCACCCACCACCTATTTGCTGGGTTTGATAATTTGCTGCAGTGGCCACACAACACTCACAGATGATGGGGTTTATTGGGGAAGCACCAGACTACAATTCAAGTTCCGGAACACACTCAGTCTCTCTCAGCCCTCTGCCTTTCAGCTGACAGTCTCTCAGTTTCCTCCAGCAGTGCATGTCTCTTGGTGTCTCTATCCCAGCAGTGTGTCTCTCAGTCTCTCTCTCAGCAGCACATGTCACTCACATCTCTCTCTCAGCAATGTGTGTCTCTCACATTTCCCAGCTGGCCGTGAGAGAGATTTCTTCTGCCTCCAGGAGGGCTCCTTTTGAGCTTGGCAAAGTGGCCAAACTAACCAATCAAATATCAGAATTCTATACACCTGAGAGAGAGAGAGAACTTCCCAGAAGGTTGCTTCATGTCACTCTTAACAGAAATACCCCAGGTGGATAACTTTAACAATCAGGAGCTACTCATGGCAAATCCCACCAAAGAGCTGATTTATAGTCATTATAGGGAATAACTACTACCAGCTGCTCAGCCAAGTTGACACCTGACCTTAACTACCACACCACCCCAAATAGGCATGGATATTAGGATTTATGATGCATCACAAAATGGAAGATGGTGGCTAGGAGGACCACATCAAACAATTAACCACAGTGCAGTACTGAACAATATTTAGTTCTGCTGTAGCTCTGGTGACTGTGAGTAGTAGCCAAGTCTATGGCACCTTACAACAACAACAGCAGATAAACAAAGAGCATTTCCAACATTTAAGTAAGGTACGGACTTTTTATCATGTGTACACCCATGCATCTATCTCATGGCAGGAAGGCAGGAAAGCCAGGGCCAATTGCACCTGGATCCAGGTAAGGGGAGGGAGAGAGCACCAACCCAAGGCAGGAACCAGGAAAGCCAGGGCTGATGACAGCTGATCCAGGTAAGGGGAGAGTAGAGAGACTTGGAATAGCTAATGGAGACAAACTTGTCTGTCTCAAATGGCAGTGGGGTTGCCTGTGGTGCACAGGTTTCAGCAAAGCTTCCAGACTGAAACAGACTCAGAAGAAGAAAGAAGCCATCCACTTCTCAAATATTTGGTCAGGGAA